TTGTTTTTGTTCCTGATTTACAGCATCTGTAGTTCTTTTGGTTTTTATTTATCCATGTGATGTTATCCTACATGTAGTTGAGGTGGTTCTGCTCCATTCTGATGTGTAGGACTATTAAGTAAGGCCATAAGATTGCAAAATATAAGATCATAAGAAGGCTGTTCAGCCCCTCAAGCTTGCTTTGCCACTTGATAGGATCATAGCTGATCAGACATTGCTCGCATCCACTTTCCTGCCTTTTTCCCTTAACCCTTGATTTTCCCTCTGATCATGAATCTATCTATCTCAGCCTTAGATATATACAAGGATTCTGCCCCCACAGCTCTCTGTTGCAAGAAGTTCCAAAGACTCACAATCTTCTGACAGAAGAAATTCCTCCTCATCTCAGTCTTTATTCTGAGTCTATATCTTCTAGTCCTAGACTCTCCCATGAGGGAGAAATAGCCTCTCAGCATTTACCCTGTCAAGTCCCTTATGAATTCTATATGTTTCAATGAGATTACTTCTCATTTTTGTAAACTCCAAATGAGAGAGTCACAATCTGTTTCACCTTTGCTCATAAAACAATCCCTGCGTACTGGAGGTCATCCTAGTGAATCCTCTATGAACTGCCTCCAATGAAACAATATCTTTCCTTAAATTAGGGAACAAAAACTGCTCAGAATATTCCAGATGTGGTCTCACCAGCACCTTATACAATTGTAGTAAGACTTCCCTACTCTTATACTCCAACCCCCTTGAAATGAAGGTCAACATTCCATTAACTTTCCTGATTACCTGCTGCAGCTGAGTGCTAGCTTTCTATGTTTCATGTGCTTGTAACCCCCAAGCCCCTTTGTGTTGTAGCTTTTCTCCATTAAATAATACCCTGTTCTTTTGTTCTCCCTTCCAAAACGAACATTACCTTTCCCACATTATACACCATTTGCCATCTTTTTGCCTGTTTACTTTATCTAGCAATACAACTTTAAATTGTTGGAATCCCCTCACAACCTGCCTTTCCACCTATTTTTGTGTCAGTTGCAAATGTAATAGTTACAATACATTCGCTTCCTTCCTTTGAGTCTTTAATATATGTTGAAAACCACTGATCACTGTGGAATCCTAATGGTCACATGGTGCGAACATGAAAAAAATATTGTCATGTTATATCTCAACACTATCCAGCTGATTATGGGATATCCATCATCAGCAGGGATCATATTTGGAAGGCATATGATAATGACATTGTTAAGCCATTGCCTATCCAAATTCTGTAAGCTGTAGGATGCTGTTCCCAACTAACAAACAAAAATAATTTACTATCCTCACAGTAGTCAGTACTACCTTCAAGGTCATAAACAGGCTGCTCAGTTGGGCTGAACAGTGGCAAAAGGAAATTAATCCTGAGAAGTGAGAGGAGCAAAATGAGAAGCAATTAAAAGCAAGAAGATGATTTTGGAACAGAAAGATCTGTGGTAGTAATGCACAGTCATTGAAGATGGCAGAGCCCTTGGGGCAGGTATGGCCTCCTATTCAGAGCCCTTTTCCCCTTCATCCAACAATTTGGTCTGTTCACGTGGTCACTGCTCATGCTCCGAGTCACACTATCCTCAAAAGAGGAATATTTACTGCTGCACACATTTCTGGGAGCAACTAGGTTGTGCAGAAGCATAAAGTCAGGAACAATTCCTTCAACATCTACCACACAATTTCGAATAGACTTTACCAACTTTAATGCTCTAGAAAGTACAAAATACTTGCACAATTGTAACAAAAGCCAGCAGGAATGAATCAACCGTGAACTTGAAAGTAATTCTTGATCCCTTTAAAAAAAAGCTCTGGTGGGTTTTCTTGCTGCTTAATGCATTGATCTGTGGTGTTCAATTAAGAGAAAGGGTTACTTAGAATATTGGGCTCCAAAATCACAATGTTGGACTCAAATCAATGTTACATGGTGATTAGCCTCACAATATGCCAACCCTGCATAATTGTGGCATGTGCTATTTAATCACATGCTGCGACCCTGATCAATATGAAAGAAAATGACATCTAGCATGATACCCACGAAAGAATGAGGAGGCAATGGCTTAGTGGTATTATCACTAGACTATTAATGCAGAAACCCAACTAATGTTCTGGGGACTGGGGTTTGAATCCCACCATGGCAGCTGGTGGAATCTGAATTCAATAAAAAAAAGTCTGGAATTAAGAATCTACTGATGGCTATGTAACCATTATCAATTGTAATAAAAACCCATCTGGTTCATCAATATCCTTCAGGAAAGGAAATCTGCCATCCTCACCTATTCTGGCCTGTAGTAATTGTAATGAGGTCAGCCAGGTGGGCCTTATAGAATATGAGTTACCTGATTGGGGCTGTTAATCTGATCCAATCAGGGAGCCCTGGCTGACAGATTAAAAACAGGAGTGTCAGAGGTTCTGTTCACTCTGAGAGCTGGCTCTGAAGGAGCTGGATCAGTGTGAAGGACTCTCCACATGTAAATAAAGGGTGACTTAGTGACCGGCCTCTGTGAAGTTATTTCATGTCCTACATGTGACTCCAAATCCGTAGCAATGTGGTTGACTTTAAACTGCCCTCTGGGCAATTAGGGAGGGCAATCAATGTTGGCCTAGCTAGTGACTCTCACATCCTGTGATTGAATTTTAAAAAAGACACCTAGAATAATGCCCACCAAAAGAATGTTCACATTGCAGTGCCCATACTTGATCTTTAAGATTATCCTAACGCCCAAAGGAAAGGTATTTCAAAACCAAATATTGTGCCCTTGCATTTAATTATGAAGGTTTTATTTTCCAATTTAGTGCTTTCAACACAGAGCTTCCTATGGTGGGATTATTGTGCAGAATTACAGTATGGAGGCTAGCATGCTTAATTCGTGATTGACACAATCTGCTGTCAATTTCCACACACCAGAAATACAAAATTATGACAGTTATACTTTAATTTCTTATCCATATCTCTCAAGAATGCTCCAAAGTGCATCAGGGACAATGAACTACCTGTGTGTGAAAAGCAAAGATTGCTGATAACACACAGATGAAGGTAATGTAAAATATGATCTGGCAATGTTAAATTTATTATTAAGGTGAAATGCTGAGGGAGGGTATTGTCCATTTTATAAGACTTTACATTTACCTTATTTTGTCTTCTTTGTCTTCTTCTAAGACGCAAAAATTCTTTGTGCTGACGTGACACAAAATTTACGGCAGCATATTCCAGCAGGGCCGAAAAGACGAAGAGGAGACAAACTGCCATCCAAATATCAATAGCTTTGACATATGAAACCTAGATGAAACAAGAAAAAGTTTGAGAATGAGATAATGTTAGCAATGAAACTGACAATTCTTCTTGTAGATCAATCCAACCATTCCAGTTTCAGATTTTGTCATCATTCTGCGCACTTACGAATTAATGCTGGGAACAAATGAAACTATTTCTTAAGCTCTTTGAAATGAAATGCAAAGAGTAATCATCGATTTATGTTATTAAATATTGATAATTTCGCATTTCTGTCTACGTGTGACTTAGACCTCATATGGAATCATGCATTGTCACTGCTCTGAGAAACTTGTGTATCCATGATGTGACCTTGAGCACAGGCAGGTCTGACAATGTCAAGTAAAAACAGGACCTAAATTTACCTTCACCCAAAACCATCTGTGATCCTGTAGAGTGCAGTTGAGGAGTATGAGAACAGAAAGGCTATCCTAAATTTGTCCTTGAACTTCATGATCATAATCGTAGGGAGAGATGGGCACCCAACGATTCTGTGATGCAACTCAGTCAGCAGACAGGTAAGCATAACCCTACAATGGCTACAATATTAATGTTGGACTCCTGTCATTGTCCTGATTCCACATTGAGGCAATTGAAAAGACATGTCTGCAGCTTTTTTTCATATTTTGTTAACAGCCTTGATTATTCCAAACATAAACACTTTTGACCACAATCAGAAAACCAGATGCTCATGGCTCAAATGGTTGAATTCCCAAACAGGGTCATTCTGTGATCTGGTCATCCCAACATGCAGTGACCCCTGCAGGCAGTAACTGGATTGTGGACTCGCCTGTGATATCCACTCCTCGTGTTCGTAATCCTGTGTGTTAAATGCAAAACAAGGCTGCAAAATATTTTCACCATTGCCATTTCATAATTTTGTTTTTTCTTGCTAGATTTTAAATGTTCAGTCATGTTAATAATGCTCAGGTCTTCTTTTATTTTAATAAATTGTTTTATGGTGTACAACTAATCTGAATTTTGAGAGGAAGCACATTATTGCTTCTGCAGTTACTGAGGAAATGGAATTCAACAGATGAATAAATGTGAGAGTTAATATATATTATGAATTACATATTGAATCGCACAACTTTATCTGTGGGCAACATGTGCAATTTGTTATATTTTCGAATGAATGTTATTCATTATCATCCACAGAAACATAGACTTTCATAATTTCTGTTTTCTTTAACAAAAGACAATAGTGAAGATTCTTTTCCTCAAGCACGTTGTAAGTCAGAAGTAACAACAACTTGCATTTATATAATACATTAAACAGGTCAAATAGTTTCCAGTGCAAATGGTATTGCACTGTACACATTCATTAACTTCAAATGTAAAATGGAATTCCAAAGAGAAACCTTTCAAACCACACTGCGTGTGCTCAGTCTCATCCAGAGAGAATTTTGGCATTCAGATTGGGGTCAGGAAATTAGCAAAAATTGCCAGTCCAAATTGTCTTATAAAAAGACAGCAATTAAAACATCAATCCTCAGATTTTACAGAATCTCACATTATTGATGTAAAGTGAAAATGATGAAGCAAGGAACATAGGCATTCAAATGGTTTAAGGGCAGATTGACCAATGCTGGTAAAATGTTCCTATATTGTGTGATTTGTGTTCCAAAAAAGATTGAAACATCCTGAAGCACATGATCCAAGCCAGCAAAATGAGCTGTGGTGGCAAGCCAGAGAAAATATTTTAAAAAAGGAGATTGTAGAGATGGATGTAAGTCTCAAAGGCTGAGTGAACTGTTGCTTCAGAAAGATTGACAGTTATTCAGCATCTTTCGTAGGACATCCTAAATCACTTTGCAGCCGACGAAACACTTTTGAAGTGTAACCACTTTTGTGATAAATGCAACAGTCAAGTTGAGCACAGCAAGATCCCAGAAGCAGCAATTTGTTAACCAACAGACCATCTGTTTTCTTCATGATTATGTTCAAGGGATAAACCTTAGCCAGGATATCAGTGATAAGATCCCTGAGCTTCTTTCCGATATCACTGTGGGATCTCCTATACCCACTGAAAAGGCAGAAAGATCCCAGCTTAACTAAAAGATGGCACCTCAAACAACAAAGCCCTCCCTGGTACTATACTCAGTTATCAGCCTTGATTGTTGTGCTGAAATCCTGAGGACAGAATCTGGGATAAAAGCCTAAAAATTTCATACTAATGAACAGAACTGATAAATTACAGAACTTGCCCCAACGACACAGGTAAGGGTAGATTTTGAATTCACCATTTGATCTAGTGCAGTAGATTACCCACTTCATATAAAGCTAGCCTGACTTTTAGCCCAGGGCTCAATCTGACATTTTTGATTCGGCTAAGTATTAGTTGTGATGAGGTCTGCAGAAGATATTTTACCATGAGGCCTAATGAGATCTGTTGCACTATCTTACCAAATTCACCTCATTAACTACCAGACTTGTGCTTATGGCGTCCATCTTGTTTAATGCTAGTCCCATTTTACCACATGCTATTCCAGGAACAGATTTTCACTCACCAATGTCTGCCAAAAGATTACCATTCGTGGTGCTCACACCATGTTTAAAAGGCCATGGTGCAGCCAGGTAAGCATTGGCAATTCATACTGACTTTATTCGCAACATAATTCTGCACAGCAACATAATTCTGCACAGCAGCAACACTGCTCACAACACAGAGCAAACATTGCTGACACTCCTCCGCACTTGCAACCCCATTGATGAGAAGGTAATGGCATAGTGGTACTGTTGTTAGACTAGTAATCTAGAGGTACAAGCAACGTCATGGGTTTAAATCTCACCATTGCAGATGAACTTTGAATTCAACAAAAGTCTGGAATTAAATGTTTAATTATCACCATGAAATGACTGTCACAAAAATCCAGCCGGTTACACTAATAGCCTTAGGGAAAGAAACTGCTGTGCCTGCTTGATCTGGCCTACATGTGATAATGTTTACTACCATTAGCAGCAACACGATTGGTTGAGCTGGTCGGGTCCTAAAAGACATAGCTGCCAGACCGGCTCTGTGGCAGATAGTGAGGGAAAATGGGAAAGACAGGAAATAAAATACTTGACCTTAGCCTCACCAATCTGTCTGCTGAAGATGTATTTGTCCATGACAATGTCTGTGAGAGTGAACACTAAATACAAATCCTTTCCAAAATGAAGTGCCGTCTTCATATTGAGAATAAGCTACATCAGATTGTATGGCACTATAACAGTGCTGAATGGGATAGATTTCAAACAGATCTAGCAACGCATGACTCGGTATTAATCTGGTGCTGTGGGCCAGCAGCAGCAGGATTGTACTGCAACACAATCTGCAAACTCACAACTTGTTATATCTCGCATTCTAACATTACCATTAAGCCAGGGGATCAACCCTAATTCAATGGAGAGTGCAAGAGGGCATGTCAGGAGCAGCACCAGGCATACCTAAAAAGGAGCATCAATCTGGTGAAGCTATTAAACAGGACTACTTCCTTGTGAAAACAGTGCAATCAGCAAATGATAGATAAAGATAAGTGATTGCAAAACCAATGGATCAGATCCAAGCTCTGCAGTCCTGCCACATCCAGTTGTGAATGGTGGTGGATAATTAAACAAATCACTGGAGAATGAGGGTCCTCAAATATCCCTATTCTTAGTGACTGGGGGACCCAACACATCAGAGTGAAAGATAAGGCTAGCTCTATTAGCTGGAAGGCTGGTTTGTAATGTAGATTGATGTCAACAACACTGTCTGAAGTCCACGCTTCTCAACCTCTACCCTTGCCTGAGCTGTGGTGACCCTCACATTAAACCACCACTAGTTGTCTCTCTCTAATGAGAGAGTAACCTTATGGACCTTTGGAACCATGGCAATATAACATTATTACTACAAGTAATAATACTGAAAATTAATAATGTAATTTAAACTCATATTAATGCTCAATTCGACAGATATGGCTCATGACTATGCACTGTCCTATTTTAGGCTATATGCTACATTAGTGAGATTTTTTTCTGCCTCATGAAACATCACCATACAGTCACTTCCACTGTTTATACAACAAAAACATTGGACAGAATTTTCTATGCCTGTTTGGAATGGGAACTTGTTCATGTAGGAAAAAACAAATGTTAATGTCATAGAATCCCTACAGTGTGGAAGCAGGCCATTCAGCGCATACCAACCTTCCGAACAGCATCCCACCCAGACCCATCCCCCCACCCCATCCCCATAACTCTGCATCACTCATGGCTAACCCACCTAAGCCTGTGCATCCCTGGAGATTATGGGCAAATTAGCATGGCAAATCTATCTAATTTGCACATCTTTGAACTGTGGGAAGAAACCAGAGCACCTGGAGGAAACCTACACAGACACGGAGAGAACATGCAAGCTCCACACAGATAGTTGCCTGAGGGTGGAATCAAACCTGGGACCTTGCCAACAAGCTGTCAGAGCCTTTCTGGCAGGTTGGCTTTGTTGATCTTCATGGTCATGAACCTGTTTTGCGTTCTTCAGCATGTCATGGATCCTCATTATTACCCCAGTCTGCTGGAATTACATCCACAGGCACAATCTTCTTTAGTCAAAAACAGCAAACATTTGTTCACAAACCAAGTGATTTCTATATCACAAACAAATCTATACCTTGTCTCATGCCTGGTGAAAAGCTGACAGATGTGTATGCGTCCCAGTTGTGAGGGAAGATCAGTGAGCTGATAGTGCATGTGAGTTGCTCAATGCCGTAGCTGTTTTTTTGTGTGTCATGTAGGAACACAGGCAGAAGTGAATGAATAGTACCACTATTGAGGTGCTAGTAGTTCTGTATTGCTAGCTGTAATTAAGTAACAGGCATTAAATGGATATGAAGAAACTGATGGAGATGAAGCAACCCCAGTGTGAAAGTTACAAGCATTTTACAAGCTAACGCCCAGAAATGAATGAATACTCAAGTAGACAGTGAAACAGCAGACTGTAGCAGATCATTTATTCTCTTGCAACACTGAATCCACCTTCATGGAGT